CCCGACACGCGGCAGTTCTCAGCGCACTGCTGTTGCCACGTGGCACTTCGCCTACTAAACAAAACCAATGAAATAGGGAGGAGGAGGAGAAAGGAGGAGGAGAGAAGAAGAAGAAGGGAGGAGGAAGAGGAGCGAAGAAGACGAAAGGAGGAGGAGGAGGAGGAGGAGGACGAGAAGGAGAGAAGAAGACGAAAGGAGGAGGAGGAGGAGAAGAAGAAAAGGAGGAAAGGAGGAGGAGGAGAGGCGAAGAAGACGAAAGGAGGAGGAGGAGGAGGAGAGGAAGAAGAAGAAGAAGAGGAAGGAAGGAGGTGGACACCGATTTACCACGATGGCGACAGCAGCTTGACGGGCGGCGAAGACGGGGAGGGCTGCTCGACGGGGCAGCTCGACGGGGAGCGATGAAGACGTGCGGGCTTCGAGACCGCGAGCAGCGGTGACGACGGGTGGGCTTCGAGACGGCAGCAGCAGCGGGCGGGCTTGGTGACGATAGCGAAGTGGGGTTCGAACGCCGCGTCGTAGGCGACCAGAGGGGGGAAACGAGGTCGTTTGTTGGCGGCTGATCGCAACGTAGTCCGAAAACAAGAAGAACTTATGAAGAAGGCCTTCCCCCTGCCTTACCGTCCTCCGAAAATCGAAACGTGAAGTTTCGAAGTGCTCCTGGGGGCCGGAGCGGCTGGCACTGGCCGGAAAAGGCCTCCCCCCACCCCGACGTGAAATTGCGCTGGGCCCGCCCGACGCCAAACTGGGGGACCCAACCGGCCGGGCCACCGGGGACCCCTGTCGGACGAAGGTTGGGCCGCCGTTCGGCCCGGATTTTAATACAGAAGAAAGCTAAATTGAACAAACTGAAGATTACCCAATGAAAATAATAACTGAAGGAAAAAACAAACAAATAAAAGTGATAAAAAGTCAGACTAAGTTCACAAATTTTGACAAACAGAATACGAAAAAATAGAACAGTAGCAGGCTAGCAGCTTAAAAAGCACCACAAATTCTATGAAAAATAGAGAAAGTAGAAGTTAAATGTGGCTTATAAATATTAAATAGTAATATCATAATATGAGATTATATGACTCTATATGAGCCTATTATGAGGTGATAATGGTCGATTGATTTTCATGTCAATGTACTCTGATTTTGACTCAAGTTGACAGGATTCGAACCTCTGACTCTCTGTACCCAAAACAGATGCGCTACAGAGAAGGTTCCTGCCTTTGATTTTTTTTGTTTCAGCCACAGTGGGAGGAAGCGAAGTGTGTGTTATTGACTTGAAAAAAAAAAAGAAGAAAGAATGGTAACTGTCAGTAGGCCCTTCTTCCTAACTTTCTCCCTTGCTTGTGCTGCTTGCACAACATTCAATGGAGTAGAAGATCTATTCTTTAAATCGTACGAAACGTACTGCAGAATGGCCGGGCCATTCTTGCCATGCAAATTCATTTAAAGAGAGTCAAGTGCAGATGTAGCATGTGCAAATGATCCAATTACTGGCAGCGCTGCGCAGGACTTCACTTACCACAGGTTTTGTTCTCTGGCAATGTGGTTGCGTGCACCGTCTACGCATGTTCGTCTTGCTTGTCACCGTGTGGAATGATTTGCATCCAGTCAGGTTGCAATCTTGGCAGCGAGGAGACTACGTGCACCCGAGGCACCACAGTATATAGCACCGGCTGTGATCATTGCGGCAGTTCAGGGGAGATGAAGCAGACAGGACTGGCAAGCGCAAGTAAAATGTGTGTTGGAGGTGACCGCTGTTGTGGAATGCCGAGCAGCAGGGCAGAAGACTCATCCATGCGTTTCCGCTCTGCTCCTGCGACTGCTAAGCATCGGTGATGAGCCTACCAACACAGAAACTGCTTCCATGGCATCTCAGTGTCATCCCTAGCATCCTCTTTTTTTTTTTTTTTTTTTTTTTTTTTTTTTTTT